AAAATCCCTAATACATATATACATATTTGTAGTTAATAACTTATTAATATTAGGTAATCCCAAGATATATATAATCACATACAGTTTCAGGCACAACACCAGCACCAACTACAACAATATCAGCAGGGATTTTGGTTCCATCTTTTAAAACAACCGCAGAACATTTTGTAGGGTCAGATTCTAAAAAAAAAAAATAAAGGAAACAAATATTTATTAATTATTAAACATCTTAAATCAAAAATATTTATTCAATAAAAATAAATGTTTTATAATGTTTCACTAACCAGAAGCTTCAATTGAATTAACACCAGACTCTAGATAAAATTTAATGCCACTTTTTTCATGTAATTTTTTTAAAGCTCCACCAATCTCAAGACCAAGTACTCTTTCAAATGGAACCTATATACAATAAATAATAACTAGTTAATAAAACTTATAATAATCTAAGATAGAAAATTAAAAATTAATAATAATAATATTTAGAAAACCTTTTCCATTCCAATAACTGATACATTAGCTCTTTTAGCAGAGATTGACGCAACTTCCATACCAATAAAAGATGATCCAATAACAACTAAATTTTTCTTTTCTTCTTTACCAATAGCTATTATTATTTATTGTTTTAATGAAAAAATAACAAATTAATCAAATGACTTGGAATGGTCAATAAAGTAAAAACGGTCATCATAATAATATTTATATATATTATCTATAAGATGAGGCTAACCATTATCAATGTTTTTATGATCATCAAAAGATCTTAGATAGAATATATTTTGAAGGTTAATTCCTGGGATTGGAATAACACGTGGCTAATTAAAACAAATTAAATAATTATTAGTTGTGTGTGAAAGGTATCAAGAATAATGGTATACAAATGTATAATTACTGATGCACCAGTGGCAATAATCAAACTATCATATTTTATTTTTTCATTATTATCAAGAGTAACAATTTTTGAGACGGGATCTAATGCAATTGCACTCTACAAAAATAAGCAAGTAAAAAAACCAATTATAATAAATTTAAAAAGATAAAAAATAATAAACCAGAAAATTTAACAAGAAAGAAAATTAAAAGAATACTAACAGTTCCTAATTTAAGTGAAATAAATAAATCATCATAAAATGATTTACTTCGAAGAGTTATTTTCTCAACATTCATTCCAAGTGCTTTACTTAATTTTGGCCTAAAATTAAAGAAACAACATATGTCAAATATTTTAAATATGAACCTTTTCTTGAACAGAAAAATTTTTATTTACCTATCTATTGGAAGATAACTTTCACGGCTTACTATGATAATTTTACCAGTGAATCCATCCTAAATTTATTTAATCAAAACAACTCATCAGATGATTAGGAGATTATGAAATATTAAATATCAAAATGTAAAAAATATGAAAATAAAAAAATTTTTACATTACGAGCTTTTTCTGCAGCTGCATTTCCAGCAGCACCTCCACCAATAATTAACAAAGTAGTTTCATTGGATGGTGGCGCTTCTAATGAACATTTTGGTGGTTTTTTACCACTTTTTAATGCTATATAGTCATAATCAAAATAGCGATCTGATTAACAAATTCAATTATATAAACCCCCCCCCCATTTGAAAAGCTTTAAAATGTTTACCAATCTCATCTGCCTCAACAAAAATTTCATCATTTTTTATATTTACCTAAAAAATAAACTTAATTGAGTATCAACTTTGCAAATGTTAAAATAATTCCACCAAATAAATTAAGTTCATACTTTGTATTTTTGAAGACTGTCCAATCCAGGAGCATCCTCTATTTTTTATAATAAATATTGATACTAATTACATGAGAATCTAGTAATGGAAATACAAACTTATGTACATATATGAAATATCTCCTAAATAAAGCCAATCATACCAATATCACCAGTGGTTACGTTGAAACAAGCAGCATGCCATGGACTAATAATAATAGTAATACAAAGATCATAATGTTGTGAATTAAGAATGACACATTATAAATTATGTTATATAAAATATAAATTACCAAGTAAGACGACCATCGCTTGCAAGCACACCAGTTCTGAGAGGTGCCTTTTATTTTTAAATAATTAGTGAGAAATTAGATAAATCCAAATCTCGATTCATAGTTCACGGTTATTAAAATAATAGTCAGCAATTAATTAATCGATTAATTCTTTATTTTTACCCCATAATGTGTACACTTGGTACCAGTAGCATAAATTTGCCCGTTAATTCTTGACAAGAGCACTTTAAATTCACCGACTGGTACTTCTTTCCTGAAATAAATTAAAATAAATTATCACATCATCAAACAATTAAAAATATATTCAAAAATTTAAAAATAGAATTAATTACTTATTTACATTTGATTATCATTGATATCATTAACTTTAAGACCTGTAGAATATTCAACCATTTTGTAATAATTTATAAAAGTAGAAAAATATTTTAGAGAAAATTTTCGTGAATTTTTAAAAAAATTTCTTTTTAAAGGAAAATTAAAGATCAACATTTAAAAGTTTTGTTACACGACCTTTTATTTTTCCATGTGATAAAAATGTCAACATATGGGCCATTACAAAAAAGTAATAGTAATAATACAAATTTACATAAAATCCATTGCGTAATAATTCACCATCGATTGCACGAAATGGTCCATATCTCTATTCGAGGTTAAGTAGGTAAATTTTTTGCCTGATCACATGAAAATTTTTTGGGTAAAAAGCAAAAGTTACATGATTTTTTTTATGGGTAAAACTTCAAAATTTTTTTCATATGAATAATATATTAATATTGGGTTAAAGTTTTCAAAAGTCATATGCCAATGTCAATATGAGAGATTCCTCTATAATCAGTTAGTAACAATAGATCAGCTTTAGAATGTAAAATATCAAAGACCATTTAAGAGCTTCTTGTTGTACTCGCCAAGTAATCTCTTTAGACCTGATTTCCTTGAACAATCGAAGAATTAATTGTGAAAGCAAGTCATAAATAATGTTTTTCCCCCCAGTTTCATTATGAGTTGAACTTCATTGAGAGATATTGGGAGTGCCGCCAAAAGACATTTACGTGGAAATTGTGATTATCCTTATGATGAAACTTTTGACTTTAATCATTGATGTAACTAAAGTATTAACTGAAGGTAGTTTATCACCAGGGCCATTTTGACGATTTGACTAAAGTGAAAGCCCTTGACGTAAGTAAAACTATTTGATATAATTAAAAACACTTGAAGTAAGTAAAAAAACGCTTGATACAAGTAAAATCACTTGATATAAGCAAAAATAATGATAGATAATATAGGATCATCAAAAGTTCCAAATTATGTGTCCCGGAGATGAATAAAGAATTATTACATTGTTGTGTGTATATTGCAATGATGCAAGAAGAATAATTGTCATGAGAGAAATTTTACTTAGTTAACTACTTGTTTTTTTCCGTATATTTCAAAATAAAATTGCCTCTTCTTTTTTACAAATTAAAACTATTCTTTTATTATTACAATCAAATTGCCTTTACATACAATATGAGTTGTGCTAACTTGATGTTTTTTAACTACGCGTAATGGTAAATACACAATAATCTTTACATAGTACATAAGACAGGTTTTGTAAGTTTTAATTTTGCATCCTTATCAATCCTGACCTGTCAACCTAACTACTACTCAAGATGATATTATTTTAGCACAAAGAGCTTTAGAAATATTTAACCAATAGTTTAGTTAGTTATTGGTTTATTAAATTAAGCTAATAATTAACTAAAAATAGGATTAATTTAGAAGAATATCTGATAAATATCAGCACTTTCAACATTTACTAATAGGCTTTTATGCTATATGATAAAAATACTAGAAATATTATTAACATATCACTATGCCTTATTTTTTTAAGATATCTACTAATTGATATACCCCATTACCCAATTTGGCACCATTCAACCAGTAAAAAGAGAACCTTAACGAAAGTTTCAGTCACCCTAAATACATCATTTACACAAAAACGTACATAATAATTGTACAAAAAAATTATATCAACTTGTGGAGATCCTGCGTATAAAGTTTCATATTTCTAAATTTTCCAGAACTTAAACAATAAAAAATAAAAAAAAGTTGATTATTTTTGAAAAAACAAAAATTAATTTTAAAGATCAATTTTTATTAACACGTAAAAATTTTAAATTTAATATTTCGTGGACCATCCATTACTTGCAATACATGCCTCGATTTTACAAGGCATGCTTTCAATTAATTTCATGTACACATCTTCTGGAATTTTATCCCATCTTCAATTAAAGTTGCATACTATGGAATTTCGTTCTGCAAAGTCATATGAAATCATGCAACTTTATAGATAGGAACTTGGTTTTTTCAAAAATGTAAAATTTTTCTCTTTTCTTATATTAAAATAAATAGTTTACTCTTGGG